GGAGAACTTGCACAATTGGTGGCTGACTAAATACTTTTTTTCCCCACTGTATATGCTAATGAAGTGTTAATGGCTATGTTTCCATCCACCTATTTTTAAGCACATTTTGGAATATCGCATAAAAAACCGCTGGATGGAAATGCCAAGATGCGCATGAATTCTAAAAATGCGTATAAAAAACTTAAACTTATAATCTCGTTCACAGCATCTATGTTGTTTTGGTCGTTCTGAAATGCCTGAAATGTCTGTCGTCAAAGTATTTCTGTATAATTGTCTTACATGACTGCGTTCCCAAACAGCAGGCATCCATCTCCGAACAGCATTTATTGTGTTACGTCTGCTCGCTCTGAAGCGCAAGTAATTTATTACATATGAAAATTATTATATTCAGTGGCTTCTCTTAGTTTTCTTAGAGATATTTAGTGCCAGTTTATCAGGAAGTGACGATTTTGTTCTCTTTGACTCGTTGGATGGAAACGGTGCTTTATTCGCAAATGTTTTATGCGATATTACAGTTTTGCGCATAAGTTAAATTCGCAACTTTGGATGGAAACATAGCTATTGAAGACTTAAAATAAAGCATGTCTAATGTTTAGGACAATTTGGATATTGTACTTGCTTGCAACATCACACTACTCTATATTCATATAAATAGTAGTCTTGTGTTTTTGAAAAGATGTTGCTATTTTTACAAAGTCATTATTCTGCCCAGCCCACCTTTTTACTTAATTGTAACTCTTAGTTACACAAAAAATATCAGTGTGTATACTCCAAATAGGATGTATACTTAAAATTGAAAAAGTGTTACAGATATATTCAAAATGTTTGCCTTTTTTATTTAAACGAAATCATATTATTTGCATGTAAATGCAGAAAACTGTTGTTTAATTCCATTTTATTTTCTTGTGCAATATATGGGTGTCTGTTCAGGGAAGGACATTTCAGACGAGCTTTTTAAACCCTTAGAGTTGGAACAATCATGGGAGACAGCGGCAATGACAGGTGAACAGGAGCATATTTCACACACCTGCTGAAATGAAACGAGACTACATCAGTAATTGTCTATAAAGAGATACTGATTTCACAACATTGTCCTTTCTCTAAAACAAGCAGACGGACACACCGCATGCATTGAAGATGGAGTGTCTGTTGATGCTGTACCAATCATCACCACAGGTGAAGCAACTCATCTTTGGTCACTTTGTGAGACGCAGTTCACATGCATTATGTAGATATAAAACAGACCAGTCAAAATGTGCTTACTCTGGTCTTGTGACTCTGTATGTGAGCTGTGTCTCAGTGTTTTCTGAGATCAAGATTTAATATGGATGCAGACGTTTTGTAATGTGATTATTACATCGGCTATTACAGTATGTATACAAACTGTCTTTCTGTTTAGAAGCAGAGCATTTCACAGAAGATAACGAGCCAGGCCCAAGTACGTTATTTTCAAGCATCTTACATTAATCAGACTTAAACGGTTAACAGTCAACACAGTCATTAGCATTGTATCTATCTGTTTAGGTGCAGCTGAAGAGGTCGTTGGGTCTTTAGATGGGCAGCTTGAGGAGATTTTTGGGATGCTGAAAAAGAAGCTGAATGAGGATGCAAGTTTTACACCGCCTATAAGAGCTTTTGTGTCCAGTTTCTTTCAGATAAAGACTGACAGTGCCCTTCAGGCATCACTCTTTTCCTTTGGTAAGACCACTCCGATAATCAATCAGATCAATGTACTACCAGCTACAGGTCCACGGAGGAGAGGGGCTTTGGCTGGACGAAGAGCTGTTGGCAGACCCCCGAAGAACTCAAGAAGAGAGCACCCATACTGCAACAGCAGATCCAACAACACTCCCCAAACTCTCACTTTCTGTTTGCAAGACAATAACACCCTTGAGAAAACAGACTAACCGTAGAGATCTAAAAACTGTTAAATCAATAAGCCTTGAGAAGCTTGGTATGAACATCATGAAACCTGAGCATTACAAGAAGAAATCAGTGTTTTGGGTTGTTTTGACCCAGCGGTTGGGTTGTTTTGACCCAGCTATTGGGTTGTTTTGACCCAGCGGTTGGGTTGTTTTGACCCAGCTATTGGGTTGTTTTGACCCAGCTATTGGGTAGTTTTGAACCCAACCACTGTGTCAAAACAACCCAATAGCTGGGTTTGTCCCTTTTTAACCCAGCGCTGGGTTATATTTAACCCAGCATTTTTTAGAGTGTGGCTTTTCCTAATTTTCTTAGATATGTTTAGTGCCAGTGTATCAGGAAGTGGCGATTTTGTTCTCTTTGACTCGTTGGATGGAAACGGTGCTTTATTCGCAAATGTTTTATGCGATATTACAGTTTTGCGCATAAGTTAAATTCGCAACTTTGGATGGAAACATAGCTATTGAAGACTTAAAATAAAGCATGTCTAATGTTTAGGACAATTTGGATATTGTACTTGCTTGCAACATCACACTACTCTATATTCATATAAATAGTAGTCTTGTGTTTTTGAAAAGATGTTGCTATTTTTACAAAGTCATTATTCTGCCCAGCCCACCTTTTTACTTAATTGTAACTCTTAGTTACACAAAAAATATCAGTGTGTATACTCCAAATAGGATGTATACTTAAAATTGAAAAAGTGTTACAGATATATTCAAAATGTTTGCCTTTTTTATTTAAATTAAATCATATTATTTGCATGCAAATGCAGAAAACTGTTGTTTAATTCCATTTTATTTTCTTGTGCAATATATGGGTGTCTGTTCAGGGAAGGACATTTCAGACGAGCTTTTTAAACCCTTAGAGTTGGAACAATCATGGGAGACAGCGGCAATGACAGGTGAACAGGAGCATATTTCACACACCTGCTGAAATGAAACGAGACTACATCAGTAATTGTCTATAAAGAGATACTGATTTCACAACATTGTCCTTTCTCTAAAACAAGCAGACGGACACACCGCATGCATTGAAGATGGAGTGTCTGTTGATGCTGTACCAATCATCACCACAGGTGAAGCAACTCATCTTTGGTCACTTTGTGAGACGCAGTTCACATGCATTATGTAGATATAAAACAGACCAGTCAAAATGTGCTTACTCTGGTCTTGTGACTCTGTATGTGAGCTGTGTCTCAGTGTTTTCTGAGATCAAGATTTAATATGGATGCAGACGTTTTGTAATGTGATTATTACATCGGCTATTACAGTATGTATACAAACTGTCTTTCTGTTTAGAAGCAGAGCATTTCACAGAAGATAACGAGCCAGGCCCAAGTACGTTATTTTCAAGCATCTTACATTAATCAGACTTAAACGGTTAACAGTCAACACAGTCATTAGCATTGTATCTATCTGTTTAGGTGCAGCTGAAGAGGTCGTTGGGTCTTTAGATGGGCAGCTTGAGGAGATTTTTGGGATGCTGAAAAAGAAGCTGAATGAGGATGCAAGTTTTACACCGCCTATAAGAGCTTTTGTGTCCAGTTTCTTTCAGATAAAGACTGACAGTGCCCTTCAGGCATCACTCTTTTCCTTTGGTAAGACCACTCCGATAATCAATCAGATCAATGTACTACCAGCTACAGGTCCACGGAGGAGAGGGGCTTTGGCTGGACGAAGAGCTGTTGGCAGACCCCCGAAGAACTCAAGAAGAGAGCACCCATACTGCAACAGCAGATCCAACAACACTCCCCAAACTCTCACTTTCTGTTTGCAAGACAATAACACCCTTGAGAAAACAGACTAACCGTAGAGATCTAAAAACTGTTAAATCAATAAGCCTTGAGAAGCTTGGTATGAACATCATGAAACCTGAGCATTACAAGAAGAAATCAGTGTTTACCCTATTTACTTTATATTTTTGGACTTGATGTGCACGATTCAACAGTGCATGTTATAAGAGAAAGCATTCGTGGTTGTAATTTTGATCTTAATGTAATGACAGACTCCATTCAGGAATGAAACACCCACAAATCAACCAAAAATCAAGTTTCACCCTGTGTTTTTTTCCCCTCATTGAAAGTTCTGTCATATTATGTATAATAACTGCACCTATGCTTGCCAACATATATTTCAAGGTGTCCAGAGTAACTGTTACCTTTTATTTTAACAAACCTATACAAAGAGAAAATGTGCTTCTGATATCTCCATTGTCCAGACCCATGTAATGTGAATTACTATCATATATGTCAGCCAAGTTTATTTATATCCAATACTGCATCAGGGCTCTCTGTGGTGGTGTTTTTAATGTGGCTTAAATTCTGGTACAATGTGACAGATGTTATTTTGACAAAATATCACTTGCTGTCACAAAAAGTCATGGATTTTGAGTACCATGAATAGGATGGTTTAAATAAATAGTGTAGTTGTGTTTTGTAAACAATGTACAAATAGCTTGTTGTGCTATTTTCATCGGAAGACACAATAAAATCCTGTTTAAAGTGTAGTTTTAGGATTAATACGGGCCTTTGTAAAGTACATTTAACAATAAACCTGTACAATCATGATTAGTACCTATATAACTGTGACTAAAATCATTTAGTTCTGCAGCCTCTTTAAATGCAGTCATCACAAAAATAGATATGTGACCCTGGAGCACAAAACAAACCAGTCTTAAGTCGCTGGGGTATATTTGAAGCAATAGCCAAAAATACATTGTATGGGTCAAAATGATTGATTTTTCTTTTATGCCAAAAATCATTAGGATATTAAGTAAAGATCATGTTCCATGAAGATATTTAGAAAATTTCCTACCGTAAATATCTCAAAACTTAATTTTTGATTAGTAATATGCATTGCTAAGAACTTCATTTGGACAACTTTAAAGGCGATTTTCTCAATATTTCGATTTTTTTGCACCCTCAGATTCCAGATTTTCAAATAGTTGTATCGCGACCAAATATTGTCCTATCCTAACAAACCATACATCAATGGAAAGGTTATTTAATCAGCTTTCAGGTGATGTATAAATTTCAATTTCGAAAAATGTACACTCAAGACTGGTTTTGTGGTCCAGGGTCACATATTTATTTTTTCAAAATTCACTAAAAGCAAGATGCCATATAGGGAACCTTTAATGTTTTATGAATTAGGACACCATAACCCTAATTTAGTATTCTGTTTTAAGAATAGTTATGATTTTTCCAATAGAAATTTAAATAGATTTGCTTGTTGTCCACAAGAAAGTTGGATTATCCAAGAAAGCCATGCAGTTTATAATGAATTTCACATGTTAGCAACTGTTCCATCAAGCCAGTCAAAATCTTTCATTTGTTTATTTCATAGATGCTATACAAAGGTTATACAAAACAGCCCAGCACTTGTTCAATACAGATAAAAAAGGCTTTACATAGTATGGATAGAATATGTTGAATTCCCTGGTTTATTTGATTTGATTAAAAGCGGTGTCGTGATGCATAATGGCTGTGCAGCTTCTGTCTTGCAGTCCAGTCACATCTTTCCTGGGTCCTCCTTGAGCGTAACGGTTCTGTTGAACACCAACTGAGGAGAAAACAGTGACAAAGATGAAGCATTGTTTCCTCTACTGTACGTTAATCTCTTTTAACATAATTGAGTGTTTCTAGACTTACCTTTTCAGATGTGCTATCAGGGTCCAGTGAGAAATAACCCACTCTCTCAAACTGAAACTTATCAAACACTTTGGCCTTGCCCACAGAACGGTCTACTAAGGCACTTTCAATCACTGTTAAGGAATTCTAAGAAGGATAAAAAAGGAAAAACTGAGATTAGTAAAACTATCAAATCTTTCAAAAAGTTGTAACCAATAAGAGGAATGTCTAAATGATTAGATTCATTCTCTGCAGTTGATGCTTTAGTTTAATATAGCATAAATCATTAGTTTGTGGAGGTTAGGTAATCACTACTACCACTACTCATATACTTAGGGTTAGAAGTTTCTCAAATCTTCAGATCAAACATTTTATATAATATATTCCCTTACAGGGTTAATGTCGCTCAGGAATCCAGCAGGAACTTCAGCTGGGTCCTCTGGGTTTTTATGGAGAAACCTACAGACAGAAACGAGAGAGAAAGAGGATGTGACATAAAATATGATTAAAAGTACAATTCTCTGGTTTGTCAATACACAAGGAGACTTACAGTCTTTCATACAGGCGCACTTCACACCGCAGTGGATCGCTCACCCAGTGAATGAACGCTTTGGGTTTTTCTACAGAGTCTGAGCTGGCACATGACACCTCTAGCTCACACACTTTACCACAGCCATCCTGACAGAAAAGGAAGATATTAAATACTATTGTCATTTATTTTGCGGTATTCAACAGTTAGTTCTGAGTTGACCCTTAATTTTGTCTGAACAAAAAGAGTCCTGATGTACAAACACTGGAACATTTCACTGTTTGTGTCACTCCAGTTGTCTGTATTTGCACTCTTCGGTTTGCTTTGGTCTTTGCTTCAGTGGTGGGAATTTTTTAGTGACTTTAGTGAATTGTTACACCAGTTGGTGGTGACAAGTGAATACAATATTGTTAGTCAATCATTAACTCAACTGATTTGTTCAACACACCGAGTTATTCAGAAATAAAACAATGAAATGAGGTTGATCAAATTTCATAATATATACTTGGACAATTTCACATTGAAATGTAAACGGTCACTTCTCACTCATAATAGGGAAGGTGGGCTTTAGCCTCTCGCACTTCACACCGCAGTGGATCGCTCACCCAGTGAATGAACGCTTTGGGTTTTTCTACAGAGTCTGAGCTGGCACATGACACCTCTAGCTCACACACTTTACCACAGCCATCCTGACAGAAAAGGAAGATATTAAATACTATTGTCATTTATTTTGCGGTATTCAACAGTTAGTTCTGAGTTGACCCTTAATTTTGTCTGAACAAAAAGAGTCCTGATGTACAAACACTGGAACATTTCACTGTTTGTGTCACTCCAGTTGTCTGTATTTGCACTCTTCGGTTTGCTTTGGTCTTTGCTTCAGTGGTGGGAATTTTTTAGTGACTTTAGTGAATTGTTACACCAGTTGGTGGTGACAAGTGAATACAATATTGTTAGTCAATCATTAACTCAACTGATTTGTTCAACACACGAGTTATTCAGAAATAAAACAATGAAATGAGGTTGATCAAATTTCATAATATATACTTGGACAATTTCACATTGAAATGTAAACTGTCACTTCTCACTCATAATAGGGAAGGTGGGCTTTAGCCTCCATTGTTTTTTGAACAGTGCATCAACTTGTGAAATGAAAGTTGGCAATAAATTAAACAAATTACAATAACATTGAATATCAGTCATTATTACACGGCTCTGAGGAATACTTGATTCTGATTGGTCAGTCGCGACATTCCGAGGTTTGTTATCCGTCGATAACAACCGGTAAAAGCTAATGACACAGGCTCACCCGGGTCACAGCAGTCGGCACTGTACTCTTGCTGGAACTATTTTTTCTTGGTGGAAGCTTTGCGTTTGTGTTTGTTTAGCTAATAAAATATTAAAACTCGATTCAAAATGGTGTACAATTATTTAATTATGTCATCCTGGTATCGCGGACTCGCTCTCGTTTCATACAAACGCAGCTGCTGCCATTTTGCTACGATTGTTTTGTACGTTGTAATGAATTATAAGAGAACTAACAAACTGGTAAGGTTTTAAAACATTTTCGTCTTAATTCTTTTTAGGGCTGTTTTATTCGACTATTAGATTTTTTTTTAATCCTCGACTTCATTTTGCTCACGTCGACTAACCGGTAAAATACCGGAAGTGGCGCATTTCACGGATGAGAACCCACATAATTAGACCGTTTCCCAAGGCTGCATGATATATTAAACCCATTTAAAAATCTTTCATACAAACGCAGCTGCTGCCATTTTGCTACGATTGTTTTGTACGTTGTAATGAATTATAAGAGAACTAACAAACTGGTAAGGTTTTAAAACATTTTCGTCTTAATTCTTTTTAGGGCTGTTTTATTCGACTATTAGATTTTTTTTAATCCTCGACTTCATTTTGCTCACGTCGACTAACTGGTAAAATACCGGAAGTGGCGCATTTCACGGATGAGAACCCACATAATTAGACCGTTTCTCAAGGCTGCATGATATATTAAACCCATTTAAAAATCATAATTAAGCATAATTGTGAATTCACAAACGCTACGATTTAATTAAATAATATTATAACGTTCATCTGGGAACGCAACGTGCGCCATTTCATCAGATTTGTAAGGTAAATCATTCATAAATCCACGCAAACACAGGAGAATACATAATCTCGCGGTTTCAAAATAAAAGCTCAAACCCTCACTCTGTGTTTACACGTTTTCATGTCCACATATTCTTTTAATTTCAGTGGCTGTAGCATTTCTGTCCTAAAGAAATGGCCAAATATTAAAGATTAAGTGGGCATTTTAATTAAATGGTGCTTGGTAAATATTAAACAAGTATTAGATCGCACAGCAATGTGTAAAAACAATCATCAGGCCGTTGGCGCCCTCTGCAGGCCTTTGTTGTAATGCGTAATGTACATTAGCTCTATTGTTTATAATACATTATGTATTTTAACAGTTTTGTTCTATAAAACCATATGATTTCTTGCTTTTGATACTTTATTTGAAATAATTATTATTGCCTCATTGCTATTATATATGTATTTAAATAATCTGAAAGGCTATTGTTCACTTACATCTATTTTTATTACCACAAAAAAAAATAATTATAATTATAGGGCACTATGAAATGTGTTTTATTTCCAAATTCAGTTTTTTTTCCATGTTCATTTTTCTATACTCTGTTTTAATGGTTAAATTCAATTTTATTAATCAAAAAGCCTGTCTAATTAATTGAGTTTTACAGTTTTATTTTTACCAAATTCTGTTTCCATTATTTTCTGGATTAAATTTTAATGGTTTTATTACATTTTAATAATCAAAAGCATCTCCAATTAATTGATTTTATTTTTTCCTTTCTTTTTTTCAGAAATACTGCACATTTACATTTTTCTCCTGAATAAATTCTGGTAAATAATATTTCTGGTAAATACTCATTTAAAAAGTGTTTTTTGTTTATAATTTTATTATTAGTAGACTAGAACACGTGGATATGTTGTCATTCTTACACTATAACACTGAACTTTGATTTCAGTGATTTGGACTATGAGATGGACACTTGCTTCTTGCACTCTATATTATGTTGCACTTTACTTTTGCTTTAAAAAAAGGATTTCATAGAAATTTGGATTTCATTTGGTTTAATAAAATATAGTTTAATAAAATATTCTTATTGTGGGAAATTAATCATTTAGATTAATCGATAAATTAGTCAATAGATTAATCAAAATAAAAATAGTCATTAGTGGCAGCCCTAATTCTTTTATTGCCTTAATTATTTTTTAAGTTTTGACTGCACCGTTTCCCTTAAATGTCCGTCTAGTTTGAATTTGCCGCTTGCTCGCAACTGCTGTCTTCACGGAAGCTTTGTGTTAAAATATTTCAACTCAAATCAATATTTCGCGTCTAATTATTTACTTATGTGGCAAGTAGCCGTGTAATAAGCGGGATAATGTACATCCAGCCGGTTGTTATCTCAGAATAAACCCCTTCAGGCTGATACAAGACCTGATCACCCTGTCTGGGTTTATTCTGAGATAACAACCGACTGGATGTACATTATCCCTTACATGTCTGTTATATGCCTTCATAAATCACACTCTAAACCCATGACTAATTTTGCCTTCAAACCATGTAGGAATTGTTGTAATAACAATGCTTTGACTGTTTATAAAAACCTGTTTAATGTGAACTAATCAAGTGAACCTAGTAGATCATGTGAACTACGGGAAAGTGAGTGGTCGTTCACCTTGATGACACGCTGTACAGAGATGACATATCCTGCATGTCTCAAGCCTACTGGCTGATCTGAAGTCAGGCGCTTGTAGCCCTTCTCCATCACCTGCAGCAAATACACATAAAACAGCAAAAACAGGGTCAGCTCTGTTTATATGGGATGCTAATTCAGTTAAAAACTGATCCACGTATAATTTTTTGAAATCTTAAAAAAAAAAAAAAAAAAAAACCTCTCTGAAGTCACTCTGCTCAATAAATATGGTCTTTGAGAAGGGAACCACGTGACTGCCCTTGGCTTCATTGGCTGGGAAGTCTGGGACTCGAACCTCCTTCTGAATAGAGGAGAAACAAAGCAGTGATCTACTGCAGTTATAAAAGTACATTTATGCACCCATCTAAATATCCTAAATTATCATTTACTGTTGTCCATAGCAACATTTCAGTGCTACCTACAGTCAAGACAACTAGCAACTACAGTAAATGACCTCAGAGGTACAGTATTATTTTTAATAATGAGCATAGATCTATAAAAAGAAAGAAAGAGCTGAAACTAAAATGACGTTACATTGATACTATGTACTAATTAATGGAAAAAGCAACACATTATTTAAATAGAAATAAATACAATAACATTGTTTCAGTGTTTGTCTTTTTTGCAAGGGAGATTTTATGTGTTGTAGCAGACCATTCTTTTAACGTAAGCTTTTAGCTAAACTAGTTAGATTTAACCTCATTAAATTTAATTACATTTACTCATTAAAATATGAATTAAATTCATATTTAATTTTCATCAGTTTATTTATTCGATAAGTAGCCACTTAATAAGCAGAATAATTGACTTGCAACCAGTCATTGCAGCAAAACTGACTGGCTAGCTGTATATTGTTACATGTAATGAACACTTATGAACTTCTGCATGTGTTCACCTGTGCATTGGTTGGCAGGTTGGTGATGGTGACTTTGAGGGGCTCGAGTATGGCCATGGCACGAGGAGTGGTGTCATTAAGCACCTCCCTAACACACGCCTCCAGTAGGTGCGGCTCCATGGTGGTCTGCGCAACAGTCACACCCACCTAAAAGAGAACAAGAGATGCTGACAGAGGGTAACCGTTTCTAATAGTTGTTAACCAATACGTCAGTAATGGATAAAAGGGCCAACATCTGGTATTCTTTAATTATAAGCACCAGCCATTGAGTTTTCCTGTTAGACAGTTTAGCGTTAAAAGCAAGACTATTTAAACTTCCAGTCAAGCAGAGATGCACACAACTTCTAAAAATTTTAGTATTTTGTTGATATTTGGCAAATAAGCAGCTATATAATTTGAGCAAGTCTTTGAATGGCTATTAAAGATTTAATTGACCTAGCAAACTTTAACAAATCCAGCTATTAGATCAGTGGTTCTCAACCTTTACTCCAAGCCCCTTACATAAATAAAAAAGTAAAACGTTTTGGTTTATATCATTTATTTTAAAATCTATCAGCGATTAATGGGTGATCAGCTGGATTTTCCCATTTTACTTATTATCATCATCAGAAACCAGTATCGGTGGACCTCTAGTGGTGATCATTAGCTCATGCTACCATTCAGTCTTTCACATACTATATGTTGATTTGTACTACTTGTGACATAATACAATGCCACACCATTTTTCTTTTGTTTTTGCATGTTTTTTTTTCTCTCTCTCTCTTACCCGGGCACAGAAATTGTTAATAGCTTGTGAAGGGAACCCACGTCTCCTGAGAGCTGTGAGGGTAAAAAGTCGTGGATCATCCCAATCTCTGAAAAATACAATATAATAGACCAACACATTACAATGATTTCTAGTTCACAATGAAATGACGCACAAAAAAAAAAAATTGTATGTACGCGTGTTACCTAACAATTCCTGTTTCTACCAGTTTAATGATCTTCCTCTTGGAAACAACAGTGTAAGTGAGATTGAGTCGGCCATATTCCCACTGCACCGGGCAGTACAAATCCAGAGCATTACACAACCAGAAATATGAGGATCGTCTGAGAGAGAGACAAAAACAGGCATTTAGTATATACAGCAATGTTATATTAGTAAAAATCCTACATTTTCATAGAGAAATTGATTTTTCAAGATAATGTACAAATATTTTAACACTGACTTACTACTGGGTGCTCTAAAGTTGCTGTTTAAAACATATTCTGAACATTATTTCAACTTCATTAAAAAAAAAGTTGTCCTTCATTGCAAATGTATATGGATCACTGGAGCCCTGAATGCTGACTGGACAATGCAGTGTTCCAGTGAACTAAACTACACAATATGGTACTCTGTATATCACTGCATAACAGTTTACATTTATATGCACATCGTCTGTAGTACAAACAACGTATAAGCTCATGTGAACGTCAGGTCTTTAATATATCAATTTATTTTGAGGTGTAAATTGCATAAAATATATAATACTTAAAACATTTTATAATTATGTTGCTAGTAGCGTTAGCCACGCAACTGGCCGTAATTGTAGTCAATTGCAAATGTGCAGTGTGTGCTGTCAAGTTTGTGCAAAACCCAACCTAAAAAAAAAACATAAATCACACTAGTGAATCAAAAGTTTTCAACCATGTTCCCGAAACCACATTTTGCATGTCTCCTTAATCAGACCCACACCTGATTCAGACTCCAAGACCTGAAATGGGTGTGTAAACGGAGACATTAAAAATGTGCAAGGTTTAGGAAGCTCCAGGAACAGGGTTGAAAACCACTGTATTAAAGTATATTTTGTATTTAAGTTAATTTTGAAATCCATATGGAGAAAAAGAATGGAAAAAAAAATATTCCAGAACAAAGCCTGCTAAATAAGTGAACCGTCCCTGATACTTCGATAAATCAAGTTTTATTAATTGATGACTACTTTGATAAACCAATATGTGACCCTGGATCACAAAACCAGTTCTAAGGGTCAAAATTGAGATTTATACATCATCTGAAAGCAATATGTGACCCTGGATCACAAAACCAGTTCTAAGGGTCAAAATTGAGATTTATACATCATCTGAAAGCAATATGTGACCCTGGATCACAAAACCAGTTCTAAGGGTCAAAATTGAGATACATCATCATTACATCATTGAATTATACATCAGCTGAATAAATAAGCTTTCCATTGATGTATGGTTTGTTAGGATAGGACAATATTTGGCTGACATACAACTATTCAAATCTGGAATCTGAGGGTGCAAAAAAAAAATCAAAATATTGAGAAAATCGCCTTTACAGTTGTCCAAATGAAGTTCTTAGCAATGCATATTACTAATAAAAAATTAAGTTTTGATATATTTACAGTAGGAAATTTACAAAATATCTTCATGGAACATGATCTTTACTTAATATCCTAATGATTTTTGGCATAAAAGAAAAATCTATAATTTTGACCCACACAATGTATTTTTGGCTATTGCTACAAATATACCCCAGTGACTTAAGACGGGTTTTGTGCTCCTGGGTCACAAATAGATTCTTAAATTCCAAGATTGATCTTTTCAGTTGATGAGTGAACAAAATTTCACTAAACATTATTCGTAGTGTGCAGATAAAATACCTATAATCATTTAACATTTTGCCACATCCCTTTTTTTAAAATATAGTTTAAAGCCTGAAATGTGAGGTTTCAGTTTTTGGTCAAAACTTTATATGAACATGAAGTACATGCGAGTAGATAACATGCTATGCTCTAAGTCACCCAACCAACATCTTTTGTTCATTCAAAATTCATCCATCAGTGTTAATGTTATTATTTTAAAGTTTATGCAAACACAAAGTGCATGGCGCTGGTAATTTTATTTGTTGGTTTGGTGAATGATTTCATTTTGTGTATCAGTACTTGATTTTTGGTGACTGAACATTTTTACCACACATTTACACAATACCGTAACGATTCTGATAATCCTTTGGTGATCATTTTGATCACTATAATTGAGTTTCATACCGTTTCAGCTCTACACATAATGCTTTCTTTATATATAAAAACAGCCTTATATGCAATTAAAATGTTTGTAAACAACTCTTTTTGATGGTTGATTATTATATCTAAAAAGCTGTTAAATTTGATGGTTTGGGCTTGTTAGTTTTAACCTTTAAAGTCATGTACCAACTGTATCGTTTACAGCTTTAGTTGAAAGAGATTTTTTTAAATTAATGTTGACATACCTGGACTGAAACTCTTTGGTGCACAGTGAGTGTGTGATGTTCTCAATGGAGTCACACAGACAGTGTGTGTAATCATACGTTGGGTATATGCACCTGTGCACAGGACATAAGAAAGAATGGCATAACGATAATAAACAAAGATCACACCACGTGAGCGAAATGTGTCTTACCAAGTGTCTCCTGTCCTGTGGTGTGGCGTGTATTTGATCCGGTACGCCACAGGGTCCATTTTTCCATCTTCCATCACCATCTTCATTCTGAGAGTGACTTCTCCCTCTGCAAACATGCCCTTTCTCATCCTGTCAAACAAAAGCAAAGATTCTTCCAAGGGTCGCTCTCTCCAGGGGGAGGGAGGGACGTTGTGACCCTTGAGTTCCTCTCCACGCTGGTGGCACACGTATGCATGACCCCTGACACACAAACAAAAAGGAATCATTAGTCTATCATATAAACCACATTCAGATTCAGGACACATTAATGTCACCACTCTGGTAATTTCACTGCTCTAAAAACAACAAGGCAACACAGTATAACACTAAGTCAATTAAACTTCAAGGATATTGATCTATCCAGTTAGGAAGCATAAGTGATTGTGAATCAGTAGCCACATTTACATGGACACTTTTTGTTTTAATCAAAAAGAAATAATTCCGACTGATAAATCCAAAAACAGTGTTTGCACTGCCGTTCAAAAATTTGGGATCAGTTTAAAAATTTTTTTTTAATGGAGTCTCTTATGCTCATCAAGGCTGTTTATTTGATCAAAAACAGAAAAAAACTGAAATATTGTGAAATATAAATATTATTGCAATTTCTAATATTGGTTTCATTTTTTAATACACTTTAAATTACTTATTTCTGTGAAAGTGAAAGTGATGTGACAAGTGGCCAAGTATGGTGACCCATACTAGGAATTAGTGCTCTGCATTTATCCCATCCTAAGTGCATACACACACAGCAGTGAACACACTCCCGGAGCAGTGGGCAGCCATTTATGCTGCAGCGCCCGGGGAGCAGTTGGGGGTTCGGTGCCTTGCTCAAGGGCACCTCAGTCACCTCACCTTGTGGTATTGAAGGTGGGAGAGAGCGCTGTACATTCACCCCCCCCACCCACAATCCCTGCCGGTACGAGACTTGAACCCACAACCTTTGGGTTACGAGTCCGACTCTCTAACCATTAGGCCACGACTTCCCCAAAGTCGTGTGACGCACTACTAGAATTTTCAGCATCATTACTCCAGTCTTCAGTGTCACATGATCCTTCAGAAATAATTCTAATATGATGATTTTTTATCAGTGTTGAAACTGTTGTGCTGCTTGATATTTTTTTGAAACCTGGGATACTCTTTTCTTGGATTAACCAGCGGCTAGTCGACGTCAAGCTAAAAGCGTCATGGCAGAGCATTGAAATCGACTAGTCGGTGCAACCCCTACTGCACACATATACTGAATTTCCCGCTGTTTTCACATACTTTCGCATCCTCCTTTATATGATCTTTTAAAGTAAAAGTTTACCAAGTTCATTACTATGAAAGAAAGTCTAAAAAAATCATGCAAAGCCCTGAGGCGTCAGATTTGTAATCCCACCTGCGAATGAGATCAACAGCAAGATCGTAGAGAAGCTGGAAGTGATCAGAGGCGTGTGTGACAGCGAATGGTTGCATATTACTAATAAAAAATTAAGTTTTGATATATTTACAGTAGGAAATTTACAAAATATCTTCATGGAACATGATCTTTACTTAATATCCTAATGATTTTTGGCATAAAAGAAAAATCTATAATTTTGACCCACACAATGTATTTTTGGCTATTGCTACAAATATACCCCAGTGACTTAAGACGGGTTTTGTGCTCCTGGGTCACAAATAGATTCTTAAATTCCAAGATTGATCTTTTCAGTTGATGAGTGAACAAAATTTCACTAAACATTATTCGTAGTGTGCAGATAAAATACCTATAATCATTTAACATTTTGCCACATCCCTTTTTTTAAAATATAGTTTAAAGCCTGAAATGTGAGGTTTCAGTTTTTGGTCAAAACTTTATATGAACATGAAGTACATGCGAGTAGATAACATGCTATGCTCTAAGTCACCCAACCAACATCTTTTGTTCATTCAAAATTCATCCATCAGTGTTAATGTTATTATTTTAAAGTTTATGCAAACACAAAGTGCATGGCGCTGGTAATTTTATTTGTTGGTTTGGTGAATGATTTCATTTTGTGTATCAGTACTTGATTTTTGGTGACTGAACATTTTTACCACACATTTACACAATACCGTAACGATTCTGATAATCCTTTGGTGATCATTTTGATCACTATAATTGAGTTTCATACCGTTTCAGCTCTACACATAATGCTTTCTTTATATATAAAAACAGCCTTATATGCAATTAAAATGTTTGTAAACAACTCTTTTTGATGGTTGATTATTATATCTAAAAAGCTGTTAAATTTGATGGTTTGGGCTTGTTAGTTTTAACCTTTAAAGTCATGTACCAACTGTATCGTTTACAGCTTTAGTTGAAAGAGATTTTTTTAAATTAATGTTGACATACCTGGACTGAAACTCTTTGGTGCACAGTGAGTGTGTGATGTTCTCAATGGAGTCACACAGACAGTGTGTGTAATCATACGTTGGGTATATGCACCTGTGCACAGGACATAAGAAAGAATGGCATAACGATAATAAACAAAGATCACACCACGTGAGCGAAATGTGTCTTACCAAGTGTCTCCTGTCCTGTGGTGTGGCGTGTATTTGATCCGGTACGCCACAGGGTCCATTTTTCCATCTTCCATCACCATCTTCATTCTGAGAGTGACTTCTCCCTCTGCAAACATGCCCTTTCTCATCCTGTCAAACAAAAGCAAAGATTCTTCCAAGGGTCGCTCTCTCCAGGGGGAGGGAGGGACGTTGTGACCCTTGAGTTCCTCTCCACGCTGGTGGCACACGTATGCATGACCCCTGACACACAAACAAAAAGGAATCATTAGTCTATCATATAAACCACATTCAGATTCAGGACACATTAATGTCACCACTCTGGTAATTTCACTGCTCTAAAAACAACAAGGCAACACAGTATAACACTAAGTCAATTAAACTTCAAGGATATTGATCTATCCAGTTAGGAAGCATAAGTGATTGTGAATCAGTAGCCACATTTACATGGACACTTTTTGTTTTAATCAAAAAGAAATAATTCCGACTGATAAATCCAAAAACAGTGTTTGCACTGCCGTTCAAAAATTTGGGATCAGTTTAAAAATTTTTTTTTAATGGAGTCTCTTATGCTCATCAAGGCTGTTTATTTGATCAAAAACAGAAAAAAACTGAAATATTGTGAAATATAAATATTATTGCAATTTCTAATATTGGTTTCATTTTTTAATACACTTTAAATTACTTATTTCTGTGAAAGTGAAAGTGATGTGACAAGTGGCCAAGTATGGTGACCCATACTAGGAATTAGTGCTCTGCATTTATCCCATCCTAAGTGCATACACACACAGCAGTGAACACACACACACCGCGAACACACACCCGGAGCAGTGGGCAGCCATTTATGCTGCAGCGCCCGGGGAGCAGTTGGGGGTTCGGTGCCTTGCTCAAGGGCACCTCAGTCACCTCACCTTGTGGTATTGAAGGTGGGAGAGAGCGCTGTACATTCACTCCCCCCACCCACAATCCCTGCCGGTACGAGACTTGAACCCACAACCTTTGGGTTACGAGTCCGACTCTCTAACCATTAGGCCACGACTTCCCCAAAGTCGTGTGACGCACTACTAGAATTTTCAGCATCATTACTCCAGTCTTCAGTGTCACATGATCCTTCAGAAATAATTCTAATATGATGATTTTTTATCAGTGTTGAAACTGTTGTGCTGCTTGATATTTTTTTGAAACCTGGGATACTCTTTTCTTGGATTAACCAGCGGCTAGTCGACGTCAAGCTAAAAGCGTCATGGCAGAGCATTGAAATCGACTAGTCGGTGCAACCCCTACTGCACACATATACTGAATTTCCCGCTGTTTTCACATACTTTTGCATCCTCCTTTATATGATCTTTTAAAGTAAAAGTTTACCAAGTTCATTACTATGAAAGAAAGTCTAAAAAAATCATGCAAAGCCCTGAGGCGTCAGATTTGTAATCCCACCTGCGAATGAGATCAACAGCAAGATCGTAGAGAAGCTGGAAGTGATCAGAGGCGTGTGTGACAGCGAATGGTTTGTACCCTGAGTGAGAGAAAAGAACACATCAAGCAAACATCCATGTGTGAAGAATGCTCTTTAATGGAAAAGTTCACATTTGAAACACTGTAATATTTGTCATCCAATACAAAGCCCTTTCTTTTTCTTTATCCTTTTAAATCTTGGTCTAAAATGTTTAAATGCATAATGCATTGGGTTCACATTTGAAACACTGTAATATTTGTCATCCAATACAAAGCCCTTTCTTTTTCTTTTTCCTTTTAAATCTTGGTCTAAAATGTTTAAATGCATAATGCATTGGAAGCACATACTGCTGTAAAGGGTGGTACAGCAGGCATTAAGTTTCTGCTCTTCAAGTTTGAGTGAATCAGCTGTAAACAGCAATCAGGTTTAGCCTGACTGCTCAAGCAAGTCAGATCTTAAAGGGTTAATTCACCGCAAAATGAAAATTATGCTGTGTTTTACTCACCCTCGAAGCATCCTAGGTGTATATGACTTTCTTCTTTCAGACGAATCCAGTCGGAGTTATATAAAAAATTGTCTTTGATCTTTCAAGCTCTATCGTTGTACTCAGCGGGTGTTGCATTCCTTCGGTTCAAAAGACGTGAAATAAAAAGCGCAAAGCTGACCTCATACGTCATTCCCCCGGCATGTTCGTGCGAATCATTCTTACTACAGAAGAAGTGAGTATAAGGGTTTTTTATGAATCTTTGCAAATCGCCTTTCCTAATAATGTGCTAGTTAGCCAATTTCGCAGCTAAAGTTTACAGACTCATGAAAACAGCTCCTCACCCAACGGAAGAGAGGGGCGGGGTCAGCAGAGCTCATTAGCATTTAAAGCAACATGGACTAGAATGGCTTGCTGAAAACAGAGCTGATTTTGACAGGGTAAAAAAAAGTGTGTTTTTTACACTACCATTGAGAAATTTTAACCAAACTATGTTATAGGCTTTTCATTAAGACCCTAAAGAATCATATAAAAAAAAATTTTGAAAAATGGCCATCCGATGACCCCTTTAATAATTATGTTTCTACTCCAATTAGATGTTGAATTATAAACATTTAAACAGTGACTGTAATAAAAAACATGTTTTCATGACAGATTTAGTCAAACATTAACTATATTGAATAATGAATAGAACAGGCTAAATAAAAATATAATTGCAATAATTGAAATTTCAGCATCGGCCGAAAATGTTCAGTTGTTGAAATAGCACATCGCCACAAAAAAAAAACTGTTTATCTTCTTAATCTTTCATCAGAATGTAATAACCTCTGCCACCTCTGATGACACCTAGGCCACGCAGGATAAGTATAATGTTAACCAAAAGACTTTTAAGCATCATTTAGTAAGGTCATACCTGTCCTCCAGTCTCTTCCAAGTGCTTCTTCAGCAAATTCATGGTGTTGGACGTTACAACATAACCCTCAGTCTTGTAATTCTCCCCTAAAGAGAGAGAACAATAAACCACATGATTTACTTTTAGTCAATTTTCTCCTGATGGTGCATTGTACTGAACTGTGCATACAGTAGTTCTGTTTCAAACTCTAGTAAGCTGCCAATGATCAACAAGTCAACAGTCTCACCTGGCTTATGGAACTTGAGCGCCTCTCCTCTCAGCTGCTCCATCAGGGATTTCCCCTCTGTGTTCGCTTCACCTACAAAGAGAAAATAGATTTTATGAAGAAAAAGTTTGGGTTCCAGGTTGCTTCTGTCCCTGTATTTTTAATCAAATATTAAGAGTGGTTTAAAGGGGTCATATGACGTTGCTAAAAATAACATTATTTTGTGTATTTGGTGTAATGAAATGTGTTTATGCGGTTTAAGGTTAAAAAAACACATTATTTTCTACATACTGTACATTATAAACCCGTCGATTTTTACAAAGCTCATCGTTCTGAAAAGCGAGGTGTGCTCTGATTGGCCAGCTATCCAGTGCGTTGTGATTGGCCGAATACCTCAAGCGTGTGACGGAAATGTTACGCCTCTTACCATACTGTGATGCCGTGTCCCGGCCGGCGCGATGAGACAAAAACATTAAAACCCATTATAAACGAGGCATTTGTTGCATCCAGTGGGGACATAATTACTGATTATAATGACTTTTACACGTTGCATTGCATCGCGCCCCGTAAACATAAAACCATGTCTGCATTTGTGATAGGAGAATTGACAAACAACAAGTGCTACTCTACACTGCTCAAAACTCATGTTTGAATCATCAGTGGCAAATCCTTTAAATATGAAAACATACTTACAGTCTGTGAGTCAGAACAGCCGGCATTGTAGTCTACTCTACCAGGATCAGGAAACAGTTTGAATATTTGGGTTAAACTGTTCTGGAACAGTGTTGTAAATACAACTTAAGCACTGATTTCTAGTCGTGTCCTCTTTTGGAAGGCCAAACAAAGTAGTTTCGCTTTCACAACGAAACACACAGCATCTCCACAACATGGCGGCGGCAGCAACAATACTACAGCGAGAATAAAAGTTACACCTTCTTTCTTTGCGTGAACATTTGGGCGGCGTTATGCAAATCTTCCCACATAGTGACGTAGACATGTGGGGGCGTGTTTAAACAAGGCGTTTTAGGAGAGCACGGACGAGTCTTAACTTTTATAAAGAATATCTCTTTGGGTTTGAGACTTTAGTCTTTGCAACTTTAGGGATCTTATCTATTCACGAACAGCTCATAACACTCCAAAGAGAAAGCAAAACTTGAAATCGCATCATATGACCCCTTTAATCCAAGTATTGTGAAGAGATATGATAGCTGTATATGATGAGCAGATTTAATTTAGGCTTTTTAGATGATCTCTTTAAAAGAACTGTTTGCCAAAAAAAAAAAAATTAAATTTTTGTCACCATTTAGGCTATGTTTGCACTAATCCCGATACTTTTGAAAGTGCATCTGTTTCTCTCCGTTCTGTCCACAGTGAGACTGTGTTTTTATCCAGCGAAAACTGAGCTTTTCAAATACACTCTCTGAAGTGGATAAATTTGAAAACTCTGTTTCTGCATTGTAGTGTTGACTGTGAAAACGGAGTTAAAAAAACAACAACAATGACACGTTTAGTCATGTGACGCATATTGTAACGACAAACATGTCTGTTTATACTGATATGTGCCTGTTATGTGCTAATCACTTTCATTCTAATATGCTGATTTATTATCAAAGTTGGAAACAGTTGTGTTGCTTAATATTTTTGGAACCTGTGATACTTTTTTCAGGATTCTTTGATAAATAAAAAGTTTAAAAGAACAGCTTTTTTTCAAAATATAAATATTTTGTAACAATATACACTACTGTTCAAAAGTTGAAAATATTAATTAAGAAACCACAACAGAAGAGTCACATTAAAGTGATGAGAAAAAAAAAACGTCTCATAGGTTTCTTTGTCTTACCATTTACAACCTGCTCAATCTTCACATCTTTCTCTGCAGCTTTGGGTTTGGCAGCCTGTGATAAGAGAAAAAAACCTTTCACAGCAGAATGGCTCACATAGCAACAAAAGAAATGTCTGTTACTCGTTTTAAACCAGCATGCTGCGGGTGTCAGCGGTGTGGCCAAAACTCGCCCTGTTCTGTGCATGCCTCAGAAGGAACAACTGTTAAACCCGTTTTTGTTGTTCTTGCCCGACAACAACAACTCAATCTGGCATGAAACATATGCATGGTATGGAGGTTAGATGCCCACAACAGTAACGTATCTACCCGGTCGGACATAATTTAGCATACACAAATTGTGATGTCATTCATATTAAAAGGTTAATAGATGGTTAATTAATGCATTACAATTTAACTAAACTGGTTAGATTTTAGTTAACTAAATCTACTGAATCTAATTTATTCGACTAAAACTAGACTAAAACCAAAACAACTGAGATGATTAAAATATGACTAAAACTAAATGGCATTTTATTCAAAAGACTATGACTAAAACTAAATCAAACTTTGCGGTCAAAAGTAACACACACAGAAAGCACCTGGAGAACAGTGTGATTAGTTCTGTCTCAGATTAAAGCGTTTTTTTAATATCAACTGCACATTAGTACATTACTTCACAACTAACTGCTACATCAAAGCTTATAAAGGCATTAAGACAAATTACTTTGGAAGTCTAAAACCAGGAATAAGACTTGCAAACAAGGACTGCAGTGATGCATATCGCGATACATATTGATATTGAATTATTGTCCAGCCCTATGTCAATGACAGATTAGAACTCATGAAGCGCTAATTGTTTAACGGTTCTTTTAATTCTTTCAAATAAATAATAGACAACTACATAAATTATTCTGGTCACACTTGGGATTAGGGTCCAATTCTCACTCTTAACTAACCATTAACTAACTATACTTTTGCCTCAATATACTCCTAATTACTGTTTATTAATACTAAGTAAAGTAGTTGTTGACAATTAAGTTGGGTAGGATTCAGAATTGGGTAGGATTAAGGATTTAGAATAAGGTCTTGCGGAATAAGACATTAATATGTGCTTTTTAAGTAATAATAAACAGCCAATATCCCAGTAATATTCATGCAAATAACCAACTAGTTAATAGTGAGAACTGGACACTACAGTGTTACCAACATTCTGATTAACTCACCATTTCAAGTAAGAAGGTTACATAAAAAGCATGCATTTTAAGTTTAGACTTTAAATTTTGATGTTAAATCAAATGTAAAAATTTAAAAGTATTAAGCTCAATTACATAAGAAGTAACTGTAATTAAATTACAGAAGAAATAAGAGTAATCCCTTACTTTACTTTTTCAAGGGAAAAGTAATTAAATTACTTAGTAACTAGTTACACCCACTGCCATTTCAATCCTTGGCCACTATATAAACAATTAAAAATAAATATGAGAACAAAGACACATCATTCAGATGAACCTGGTGTTTCTCATTATCATCATAAACTTTTGATTAAAAAAAGCTTTTGTTGAAACACTGGAGCAGACAGCAAAGGAAAAGCAGTCAACAAATGTCCAGCATACATAGGAACTTTGTAAAAGCATCTCAGTTTTCATCTAAAAAAAGTAATTACATTCTGAAATTAGTAATAATAAAAATAAGTAGAAGTGTTCAGTTTTTGATTGCCATATTTTATCTCCTGCACGTCTGCACTCACACCTCAAAAAACCTTACCGCATCCTCTATCTGCTCAGGTGTGACCATCACTCCCACGCCACAGGCAGCCTCAAACTCAAGTCGATCCAGATTCTCCTGAGGGTGGCTTTTTATAAAGTCCAATGCCGCTGAGAAAAATATCAGAAATAAAAATGTCAGCAAGAGGTGAGATCCAAATTATTGAAGCCCTCTAAATCATGACAAAGGGTGCCGCTAATGAGCACTAACATCATATGGTGGTTAATTTATTAGTGCTGATAGACAGATATTTCTGACAATCTAATCTTCTTTTATAAAGTTTTCTCTTCACATTTATGTTTGTGTTTTCTTTTCAACTGTACAAATTATGTTGATATCTAGTGTCTAATAAATCTCGCCAATGTCAACCAGTTGCATGTCTTGTTTTCGGTTTCCCGCAATCATGATTACTGTGTAAATACATTCACTTTGCATTGAAAAGTCACACAATCACAGCTGAATTTAACTGGCTTATACTTATGTGAGGGGTGCCCTTATTGTAAAACCTCTTAATCTCATTGATAACAGTAAGAACAAGAACTATGATTAATTTTTATACTAATTAAGGCGTCTTTTTACTTTTTTCTTTCACGTTCCTTTTATATTATTTTCTTCAATGAAGTGCTGTTTGTTTTCTTGCAATAAAAATAATATTACCGTCATTTAAAAACATTAACAGTTTTATTAGAAATGCACAAAACATATGCATCATTTTGATAATCGTCAAATGAAATACATTGAATTTAAAAAGTGTAACTAATTTTACTGATCTCTACATATAGAACACAAAACATTATTGGAGGAAAAAACCCAGAGTGACAGAAGAGTAAAGACAATCAGATACCTGACAGCTGCAGTTCTGAGGTTATTTTTCGTGTAATGATGTATTCTGTGAGGAAAGACAGTCGATTGGAGTCTTTGAGTCGTGTCACCATATTATACAGCAGAGTGCCTGCAGTCTTATCAATGCTAGCGGACCCCAGCAGCCCTTGAGCCTGAAAAAAAAAACAGTAACATCAGCAATAATATTACAAGTCTTTTCCAAATACTTCTTGCAAATGTAACGGGTAAAGAAACTGTCACGGAAGTTCTCTAGAGGCTGGTGAGGTTGGCAGCTATGTACCTGTTCGATAGCCCTCTTGAGTGTTGACGAGAGTGCTTCATTTTTCAATGTTTCCTTAGCTTTCTGTTCACTAAGACCAATTGACATGAAGATAGACACCGCGTCCGCCATTTCTCTTCCTGCACACACGCCGGTTTACCCTTGCGCCAGCCCCGCAGGAGCACAGCCCTCAGCAAGCGTGCATTCGGATTGGAACGAACCATGATTCTCCAATCAGATTTGTGCATCCTTCCACCAATAATCGGTGCGCTTCTGTTGACACACAGTTGCATCAGTCGAGCATTGCCACGTGAAGTGCAACAAATTGTTAATAAATAAACATCTTTAAATGTTTTGAACAAAGCCGTAAAGGACCTCTAGGACAGTTTAGCTTCGCTGATGTAACTTTAAGTGTACAGATCAAGACCACAGTGGAAAAAGACTGGAAGTCGCCCAGGGATCGTTTACTGATGGCCAGTTAAACTCTATATTAAATAATGATCTATTTAAATAGTTAATTGTCATATTTTAATTATTTACTGTTTATTTCTTTTCTGTGGACTCTAAAAATGTTAATGTTATATGTGTATATGTGTGTGTGTACCTGTTTTTCTTTTCTGGTGGGGACTTAAACCTGAATACACACAGACTCATGGGGACTCGTGTCACTGTGGGGACCTAAATTGAGGTCCCCACGGGTAAACAAGCTAATAAATCACACAGAATGGAGTGTATTGAAAATCTAAAAATGCAGAAAGTTTCCTATAAGGGGTAGGTTTAGGGGTAGGGTTGGTGTAGGGCAATAGAATATACGGTCTGTATAGTAGAAAAAGCATTACGCCTATGGAGAGTCCCCACAAGGATAGCAAACCAGACGTGTGTGTGTGTGTGTGATTTTTCAGACGTGTGTGTGTGTGTGTGATTTTTCAGACGTGTGTGTGTGTGTGTGATTTTTCAGACGTGTGTGTGTGTGTGTGATTTTTCAGACGTGTGTGTGTGTGTGTGATTTTTCAGACGTGTGTGTGTGTGTGTGATTTTTCAGACGTGTGTGTGTGTGTGATTTTTATGAAGAGTTCATTTGCAAAAAACAGATTACTCATAATAACAAAATAATCAAAATAACAGATCATTTTCAAAAGTCATGTTTTTCATGTTATTTTGATTAGGTTAAAATATTATATTATTTTAACTAAAAAACAGCTAACTAACACAATAAAAACATGATAACATCATAAAAAACATTTTTGAAAATAAAAAAAACGGAGTTATCTTTTTGCAAATTAACTCTTTTTCAAATAAACTATTGTTTCATAGTCCTTAGTATTAAGAATAGATTTTAAAGTGATATCACTTTAAAATAGATTCTTAATACTAAGGCCTATGAAACAATAAAAGGATTACATTTTTACACCGAACTGGACTTTATGTTAGGATATTCTCATATAATCCACTAAGAGGAGTTCTTCAAGTAAACGGAGGAGGGCAGCAATACGCCTTTGGTGTGTCTAGACGTCTGCCGCTGATCTCATAAGAAGAAGCAGCAGAAGAAGAAGAAGGATGGACCATTTAAAGGACACGGGATTATATAATAGTACGATCTGATCCACACTCCTAATCAGTAGGTTGCGGTAATGCACCTAAAAGTTGTATGCCATCCGCCATTGAACACCAAGAAGAAGAAGAAGACGAAGAAGAAGAAGGATGGACCAATCGCCGTCATTTACTAGACGGTTTCGATTTGTATTTAGAGCAAATTCCATTATGAAATAATAAAACATCTGGTATAAAAACAAACAAACTGCGATCTGAATGCACCTTGAAGGAGGATTTCTCTTTTTGAGCCGTCGAGCGTCCCTTGGAAGAATGTGCATTAAGTTACACATTAGCTAGCAACAACGCAATGGATTTCAAAACACTTTTGTACATGCACGGAGATATATTACGTATACTGGCATAGTCTGTCTCATTTGTGTCTCTTTGTAAGCTACAGACCTTATTCATTTGAACTTTTCTTATGCGCAAGCCATAGATTTGTGTGTGTTTTTATAGCATGCATTTTAATCTGTTTTAGTTAATTTTATTCTTTCCTTTAATGTATTTTTGTTATCACAGTAGCTGACTTGAATTGTCCTGGTGGTGTAAGGAACAGAGCTACATAATGTCCCAGCATGCTCTGCTCTCTGTGGGGTGTAAGGCATGGCGGTCACTGTCATGTCCCCGGTCAGAGCTTCGGCTGGATCTCACTCTGGGATGTGGACAGACTTTCCGGTAAACTATATACTACTGTTTCATTGCTGTCTTCAACATAAACTTTTCTTATAGGGGTCGCATTTTATGTTTTTGTTGCATTTTATTAATTCCCTGATGTCCATTTATAATTTTAGTCATTATTTCTTACTCCAAAGTCAATTAGAATTTAAATTGGACACCTCTCTGGGCCTCAGAATGAAACAGGCTGTTTTCGATACTGTACCTTTAACATGTCTGTGTGTAAATGACTGGTCCACCTCCTCACATGTGATCTAATTAACAACACCCCCACCAAGCTGCTGAATACTGATATACTGATATGAAAATATGGGCAGTATTAAAAAAAAAACAAAAAACGGTAAGCAGCGTACAATACAGTAGCACCTTGTAATTAGTAAACTAGTATTCCATTCTGAACAAAGCCTTAGAATTAAACAAGCTGTGTTTTTGATAATGCATATGAACTTATGTGTTTAGTTTTCCATTATACAGTATGACCATATTGCCCATCCTTTTAGATGGCGTGAGACTGGAGATGGTCACTGGACGGGAGTGATGCGAGGAAAAGTGTGGACACTAACTCAAACAGAGGATACATTATGGTACTATGTTTACAGTCATCAAATAAATCCAGGAACAGAAAACAGACAGAAATGGAAGGTGGAAGAGGAGGAGCAGTTATTGGGGAAGATGTCAAAAAGAAAGACTGACATGAAGCAGGAAGAGGCGGGATTTTGCACAGTGATGTCAGAGCCTGACAACAAAGAGGAGGAACTTCTGAGGGACTATTTCCAGTTAGGTGTTAAATTAGGGGATCTCTACAGCGACTGGAGCACCGTGGATCCACACTTCAAACATACAGCAGACATCTTCACAGGTACATGTGTAAAATAGTTCATCAAAAAATGAAAATTTGTTAATAATTTTCTCATGTCATATAATTTTCCACTGCCTGAATGTTCATGGTGCTTCCATACAATTGAAAGCATATATTGCGCTTTCTTATAATGTTGACACCCTTGGTAAGAGTAAAGCATGCTGTAGAAAAATGTATTTGCCTTTTTCCTCTTTCCTCTTTTAGGCAAAATGTTGACATTAAGTAAAATAATTGAAAAAAAAATGTTTTCCCAAAATGTTTTATTTCTCGATATATGTGTACAAAGATATATTGGGAACCCCTACAATTAATACTTCATCTAGCCCAGCACTTGACACCACCTGGTCTCTGTATGTTTTCAAAATCATATGTGTGGGACAATATGTGATTTTCTCCTTTTAAGCTGCACCAGGTGTGATTTTTCTCTCATTAAAAGAAGATTTGCACATATAGAACTGAATAATAATTTTGAAAAATGTAGATCCAATTGAACATACTTTCGAGAAACAGATCATGGCTGAGTGCATATCTATATTACATTAACATCTGTAACTGAAAATATTCGAGAGGCTGCAGTAGCATTGCTAGGTGTCAGTATACATCCAAGACAACTGACATATTTGCATGTGCAACATAATCCAAAATATACTGAGTTCACCTTTAACAATGTAGAAGAAAGGGTCTTTTGAACAGTGGTCCTTAATACAAAACACCTTTTTTTCTGCATCTGTCTGTTTGAACATCTCAGGAGTGCGTTTGTTGCGTCAAGACCCTGTGGAGTGTCTTTTCTCATTCATCTGTAGCTCGAATAATCACATCTCGCGGATTCAGGGCATGGTCGACAGACTGTGTCAGACACTCAGGACTCTCCTCTGCAAGCTTGATGACGTGGCCTATCATGATTTCCCCCCTCTGCAAGCTCTTACAGGTAGTTAAACTAGCGCTCATAGAACGAAGTAGCTAATCGAACATGTTTAAGTTCAATGCTGCTAATTATCCTTGGCAATTCTACTACTTTTGTATATAATCATACAAAAAAAATATGCATTGCATTTTAACATATAGTGATAAGTAATGAAACAAATACACAACAGTATTGAGTGATTCAAACATCAGTATCATAAAAATATGTGAAGGGCTGGTCCATAAGTTCGTCACATCTCTCCTCTCACGCATGCATATTGTTTTATTTAAAGAGAGCTGGTACAACATCCTTAATCTTGTTAAATCTTCTGTGATTTTAGGTTCAAGGTGATACAGTTACAGTGTTTACCAGCCATTGCTTTCTAGTACTGGTTTGGCTGAAGTAAAGCTTTAAAAGAAAATTTAAACCTCTTTATTTTAAAGATAAAGTACACAGTAATATTTAGAATATATCCTCTTCTGCTTCTGAAAATATAGACTGTAAAATCTTCTTCTTAACAATCATTTAATCAATTACAAATAACCAGAAACAGGCAAGACATTTTATTTCAATTCATAATTACGTCATGAAGCTCAGTACAAGTGGTCCATTGAGCCTACAATTGAATATAATGTATATTAAATAAAAATATATTAAATAATAGGTCAAAAATAAAAATGCACTATGGGAGTCTTGTTTTGGGCCCTATATTTTAAATATCAGCAATATTTTTACCACTTTTAGTAGCATTTTTGCCACAAGCACTGGTCAGTTTTCTGACTTTGGCAAATGAATACACTTAAAATATTGAATATTTAAATTTAAATTAGTTCACCCTAAAAAATTTACTCACACTCATGCGTTTCAAATCCATAAGGCTTGTGTTCAATCTTTGTAACACAAATGAAGATATCGTAATGAAATCTGGAAAATGTTTGTCCCTTCATTTGAAGTCCATTCACCCAAAACTTTGCTTGCTTTTTGTGTAAGAACTATGAGATTTGTTCTCACATGTTGTGCAAGCACATTTGAGCTTCTGCAAGAACCAATGAGGCTTGTTCTTGAGCGTCAAATGTTGTTAATAAAAGCGGAAATTAAACAATATAATTTAGTCTGTTCAACACTATCATGTCTCTCGGAAGACTTGCATTAAACTGCTCAGTATTAAACTGTTTCATATGGATATAGGTTCTTTGTAAGTTATATTCACTTTTTGAAGTGTAAAAGTTTTTATGAGAATGGATATTCAGTGGTGGGACAGATACCTTTAAGATTTCATAAATATTATCTTTGTGTTTAGAAGATACATTGATTTCTTATGTATTTGGAACATCATGATGACAGTATTTTCATACTTGAGTGAACCATCCCTTTAATTAATGTGAGAAAAAAAGAGCATGTTGTGATATGACAGACATGAAAATGGCACATACATTATATGTAAGAAATGGGTTGCCTGTGATAACAGTTAGTTTTACAGTTTACCATCATTATACAAAAATATTTGGCTGCTGAATAAATGTTTCTCAAAATCATTGATGCATCATAATCCAAAATTATAAAAGCACTTAATGTTTAATATTTGAATGTTTGTTTGTATATATGTGACAGATCCTAGTGTGGAGATGCGTTTGCGTGATTTGGGTTTTGGCTACCGTGCTCGTTTCCTGCAGCAGAGCTCACAAATCATTGTGAACTCTCATGACCCTGACTGGCTCCAGTCGCTCCGCAGCGTCCCCTACCTGCAGGCCAGAGATGCGCTGAGAGCTCTTCCTGGAGTTGGTTTCAAAGTAATTATTTATTCAGTCTACATTTATGCATAAAAATGTGCAAGTACATGAATGGAACTTCTAAACTCATAGTTGCAACCCAAGTAGCATTCTCAACTGCTGTAAGGTGTGCATTAGCACAAGCTGTCGTCTTCTATGGAGGCTTTTCTCTTTCAACTTTCTTTACAATGCAGTGCAACACTTTTGTGTTTGTATACTTGCATAGAGTATGCTTTTGGCATATGCCCTTTTACTGCATACTTCCCTTCCCATGAGATATTTTATTTTTATTTTAGACTGTTTTTTTCTAGCTGTTAAATGCATGCATTTATCATAATTGTCTTACATTTGTGAAATCTATGTTTTCTGGGAATCAGGTGGCTGACTGTGTATGTCTGATGTCACTGGATAAGTTTGAGGCTCTTCCTGTGGACACACATGTGTGGCAGATTGCCAAACGTGACTACAGCTTTGCTGCTGGGAGCAGCCAGAAGACTTTGACTGATAGAGTCTACAAAGAGATTGGTTAGTACCCAAAAAAGATACCCTGTCCTGGAAACCACCCACAACAGCCTAGCATTTGTGCCTGTGAGTTTTGGACTGACACAAAAAAAAAATCGATTTTACTTTTAAAGTAAATTAGATATTTTTGATCCTCTTTTGCAGGTGACTTCTTTAGAAAACTCTGGGGTCCCTATGCAGGCTGGGCACACTCTGTAAGTAATACTGCACATCATTCATCGGATATTATTATTATTAATATTATGGTCTTTTTTTATTATTATTATTACCGAATTATTTATTATTTTTGTCTTTTTTGGGTCTCAGGTACTTTTCTGTGCTGATCTAAAGAGGTTTCAGAAGCTGAAAGAAGAGATTCCTGCACTGAAAGATGAGAAAACAGAGCTGAAGAAAAAGATGAAGGAGAGAAGACATGACAGATGTGAGGAAAAACAGAAAAGAGAAAAAGGCAAAAAGCAACAGAGGACATAATATCATATGACAGTGTGGCTAACATTCATTACTAGTCAAATATGGATGAATCCATTTTGAATCTCTACAAAATTTGACAGCTCAATTTTTGGTAATTTCTTAGAAAGGACCCTATTTTTACACTTGAGTGTATAATAAATGTGCTGTTAAACACACTGAAGGGCTTCTTGTTTGTGACAAAGGATAAATTACTTATATATTATGTCATTTATATTTCTTAATTTGTAAAAGTGGTGAAATGGTAGAGTATGAAATACTATTTTCTAAGTAGATTGCAGCAGAGGATCATTAATTTGCCATTTCCACTCCTTAAAGGGGTCATATGATGCGATTTCAAGTTTTCCTTTCTCTTTGGAGTGTTACAAGCTGATTGTGCATAGATAAGATCCCTGAAGTTGCAAAGACTAAAGTCTCAAAACCGAAGAGATATTCTTTATCAAAGTTAAGACTCTGCCACGCCCCCCTAAAACGGCTCGTTCTAACACGCCCCCCACATATCTACCTCACTATGTGGAAATATTACCATAAAGCGGCCCAAATGTGCAGCAAAGAAAGAAGGCGTGGTTTCAGTAACCGCAGTTAGTGTTGAAGCAGCCATGTCAGGGAGACGCTGTGTTTCTAGGCGAAAGCAAAAGCACTTTATTTGGCCTTCCGAAAGTAGATGCATTTAGGAATCTTTAAGATTACTTACAACAGAACAGCAATGCATTTTATGGATGACCGTTTCGTGAACCTAGGAGAGGAGGTAATTCTGACTTTGCTATGACAATCTGGCGCTTCTGAATCAGCTACTGTTTTGTTATTAGTTTAAATATTTGCTATTGACTGTTCAAATGCGGAATTTTGCACATCGTGTGTGTGAGAGCGAGAGAGACCAGCTTCCTCACTGTGTCTGTCACGCGACTCTGTTCCCCTTTCGGGCTCTGTCTTTACATTTATTTTGAAAGATGAAGCTCGTGATTATGGTAAGGGGCATTACATTTCCGACGAGTGCTTGTGGTGTTCGGCCAATCACAATGCACTGGGTCAGCTGGCCAATCAGAGCAGACTGCGCTTGTCGGAAGGAGGAACTTTGTAGAAAACTTAAGTGTTTGAGAGAGGCGGGGCATAGAGGACCTACAATAATGTACAGTATTTGAAAAATAATGTGTTTTTTGAACATTAAAACATGTCAACATATTCTGTTACACCAAATACACAAAATAATGATCTTTAAAAAAGCATCATATGACCCCTTTAATATATTATTTTAACATGGTTTGCTTTTGGATTTACATTTAGACATTATAAAATCACTTATAACATTTTAATAAATCACCTTTTCTCAAAGTTCAACACTGTTTTGTGCTTGTATGAAGTAGCATAGTTTTCAGAGTCTCATGAAATCGACATGAATCACACAAATTACCTATTTTGAATTCAAAATGGTGATTTTCGGTGAAACGTATAGATCCCTGTTAACAATCTCATCAGTTTCTCTTGATTGTAAATCAAATGTTCCTACACAAACATACTACGACTTTTCTGAGCAACAGAGACAGTCGGAAATGAATGAATCAAAATAAATGTTGATTGACTTAAGCTTACAAATCTCTGTTTATTCACTTGGCCATTGCTTTTTTCATTTTAATGCACGTTTTTCATTTTTCCTTTGTCTTTTTCAGTACTGCGCCCCAGAATGTTTCCCTCTTCTATTCATTTTGGTCATGTGACTGTGTAGCAGTTCGAGGGGTGAGCGGTTGATACTTACGTAATAATAATGTACACACACACATACACACATATATATATATACATATATATATATATATGCCTCATTAGCATCTGTTTCTATGGGCCACTATACGTAAGCCATTCACCTTATTGGAATGGTCAAAACTCAAGTTGTGTTAGCTAACGCCTTCATCTTGTTGTATTGTGTTATTTTAGCAAAATCATCTGCTGAAGCCTACTGCAGATATAGATATTCATATATGCGTATAACTATAGTTTCAGATGCACAGTTGATTTGCTCTTGAGTGTTCACAGACTTGTTTTGACCATTTTTAAGCAGGGTTAGATTTGATATGTCTTAAGTGTCCACATTTTACCTTTTTTTTTTATGTCCTTGATTTCTATTTAGAGATAATTTGACTTTAAGCGAGACTCATGATATGGATTGACAGTGACACTGTATTTTTCACATCAACGCAGACATACCATGTTTGAGGGTGGGAGCCAAACAGACTTTCCAGTCCTGAAAATAGCTTTGTCTGATATCTGGTCCTCTGGAAAAACAGTTCTATTATGCGAGTTATTTTGACATTGCTTGACATGCTGTAAGCCCCTCAGAGCAAGAACAGTGCATGGGTCACACTTACATAAGCCACTGACTCAATCCAGTCTTTCCTTTTTTGTCACGCTGTTTGTGTCTCTGGGTGAGTGGCCGTGTATTAATACATGGATTTTTGTGTTAGGGAATGTTCAAGGTATTCATGGTAATTGCAGTGTAGTTTCTCTTTGTATATCATATAGAATCAGATGTACTTGCCAAATAATGAAAGGACATTTTTTTTATTTAACTCTTGTTTAGCATTTTAAATTATAAAAAAAAATATATATTTATATATATATTTTCTTTTTTTTTCGTCCTTATTTGTATAGTTTTATTTTATTGTTGTAGTTTAGTTCTAGGTTAGAATCTTGGAAAACTCATTGATTTTTATTGTGAGTGAGTACACGTTGACCTGTCTATATAAGACCTTACAGCTCACAGTGCATGTCAGAGCAAATGAGAATCATGAGGTCAAAGGAACTGCCTGAAGAGCTCAGAGACAGAATTGTGGCAAGGCACAGATCTGGCCAACGTTACAAAAAAATTTCTGCTGCACTTAAGGTTCCTAAGAGCACAGTGGCCAAAATTTAAGGGGGTCTGAATACTTTCTGTACCCACTGTATGTTAATATCTCCCACAGAAAACACTTGCTTAAAATACCTCATTTGTGGTCCTGTTATTATTTTTATGACTATGGCTAGGTCACCATGTAGCATTTGCATACTGCCAGCCTACTTTGACCCGCCCTCTTGACCCATTGGGTAAGACACTGGTGCGACAATACGGGCGCCATTGATACTACAGCTGCTCATGAAGCCTCGGAGCCAAAACCCAATTATGGTAAGGGGGCGTTACATTTCTCACACACTCTAAGCTGTTGACCAATCACAACAGACTAGGCCACAACTGACCAATTAGAGAAGACTGAGTGTTTTGGAAGGGGACTTTAAAAAGAAAGGATCTAAAACAGAACATTTCAGGCAGAAGGTGAAAGCAGCAATGTACAATATAAGAATTTTTTTTTTTTTTAACTTTTAATTATGTAAATGTATTCTAGCAGCATCTTTCTTTGTTGATGCCAACAATTAATCAAACAATAGCTGTGTATCCTGACTGAATATATTGTTTGCAAGCAACCCATATATTGCTAATATTTTATCATTCTATAATAGTTGTTTTTCCAGTGCCCTATGTTGTCATCATAGCTCTGTATAGTCGCTATAGTGAAGGGTTTGAAACTGTATGTATTCTTGTGTTGATATTAGTCAATCAGCATTGTTAGGACATCTTTTTTTTCTTCTTCTGTGGTTTCAAACTAATTAGTCACATGCAGGGGCGGACTTAGTGATTTGGGGGCCTTAAGCAAATTCCAGGTATGGGGCCCCAACACAATAACTATGTGCTCTTTTAAGCCTAACCCTTATTTTGCTCGCTCGCTCTCATAGTTTATAGTTTATTTATCCCTTCAGAACAGTAATTAGTCAACCTCATGCTGTTCTAAAGCCATATTAGGCTACCTTATTTTTTTCGGATCACAAAAGAAAAAAAAAATGCTTGCACTTGTCAATTTAATAAACTGTAAACCTTTTAAATCTTTTAACAAACATAAAATTCTCATGCAACACATTCCATATCCCAAGTGTTCACATTTATACCAGTGCCAGTACCAGTTCACGCCGGCGCGCAAAGGAAAAGCACACGAGAGTCATTTTGAAACATCAAGATTGACAAGTAAAATTATGACTTGAAACACAATACTTTCTTTACTGAGGTAAATATCTCTGTTCTGAAACAGTCAGACAGTAATATACAGCCTAGAATGCATGCAAAGAGCACTCCCTCATATAATCACTAAAAGCTGTCACTCAATTCAGCAGGGTTGGGAGGGTTACTTTTAAAATGTATTCCGTTACAGTTACAAATTACTTCATTAAAAAAGTATTCAGTAACGTAATCCAAGTACCACAATATAAAAGTAATGTAATCTGATTACTTTTGGATTACTTCAAGTTACATATGTAAATAAGTCAAAAAAGTAATATCTAAGTACTTTTATATAACTATGACTTTAAAAATAAAAGGGTCATATGATGTTGCTAAAAAGAACATTATTTTGTGTATTTGGTGTAATGCAATGTGTTTATGTGGGTCAAGGTTAAAAAAACACATTATTTTCCACATAGGCTACTGTACATTATTGTTGCTCCTCTATGCCCCGGCTTTCTGAAACACATCTGAATATTTGGGTTGATCTGTTCTGGAACAGTGTTGTAAATACAACTTAAGCACTGATTTCTAGTCGTGTCCTCTTTTGGAAGGCCAAACAAAGTAGTTTCGCTTTCACAACGAAACACAGCGTCACACACGGCGGGCTAGAGTGAGGAACGGCCGGCGGATTCGACGAAGGAGCGTCCGGCGGGCTTGCGGCAACCACATGTGACGACCCCGGGCTGGACTCTGCTTCATCCACGGTGAAAGCCGATCCATTGGTCCACAGCGTGAAGTTGATGTATTTCCTCAGCGACCAGCACAGATCAGCTCTAGGCATGACAAAGCAGATATCGTCCTCTTTTGGAAGGGCAAGCAAAGTAGTTTCGCTTTCACAACGAAACACACAGTGCCTTCACGACATGGCGGCGGTGGCAACAACAATACTACAGCGAGAATAAAAGTTAAGCCTTCTTTCTTTGCATGAACATTTGGCCGGCGTTATGCAAATCTTCCCACATCGTGACATAGACATGTGGGGGCGTGTTAGAACGAGCTGTTTTAGGTAGGCGTGGCTGACTCTTAACTTTCATAAAGAATATCTCTTTGGATTTGAGACTTTAGTCTTTGCAACTTTACAGATCTTCTTTATGCACCAAGAGCTTGTAACACTCCAAAGAGAAAGGAAAAATTGAAATCGCATCATATGACCCCATCATAAAACTAATAAAATCTATTTGAAACTATTAAAAATCGTGTCTTGTTTCACCATCTAGATATTACAGCCCGTATATTTATATAAAAGGCTATGCAGACATCTAGTGGCTATACAGTTTAGTATTACAGTT